TTTCCCTCTTACACGCACACACGCAGGCGAGGACACACCAGGCTTTTGCCCCAGTCTCTGCAGGCTAGTTTTGACGTGGGCCAGGGGTCTACCTGGTGAGAGCAAGGGCTCAGGGAAGGAGTGAGAGCTGGGAGCCCTGGCTGCTTTTATCTCCTTCACCCATGAAATCTGACCTTCCCTCGGCAGAGCAAACTTGTTCCATCGTTGAAGAGAAAGTGAAAAACTCATTATCTTCTCCAGCCTACTTTCCACACTGCCTCGGCCATGATTTACTGTGATTTATTGAGGATGTGCTGCTCTATATTACATGGATGCAGTTTAATAGCTGTGGGAGTGAGAAGAGTGCCTGAGAGAGAGAGCTCCTCTGGGCTGTTTCTCCCCAATACAATGGGTGATGATCACTGACCTTCTCTCTGCGTTGGTTTCCCCATCTTTATAGCATGAGCAACCTGCACTTGCCCTTTACATGTTCCCCGTCCTCAAGGGAAGATTTCTGGAAGAAACAGAAAATAAGAAGAGCAACATGTTGTATACCTAATAAAAGTAATCATATATCACCAGAACACCCAGTGAAGACTGATTGGGTTTATTCATCCTCAAATTTTAAGTCTATTTTTTTCTGATGATGATGAGGAGGAGGGAGGTAGCAGGTAGAGCAGAGGCAGGCAATTATTTCGGGCGGGGGGCCGCTTACTGAGTTTTGGCAAGTCATTGAGGGCTCCCAGCTAGGCAGCCAGGGGCAGATCAATATTAATTTTCTAAATTTTTTAGGGGCCCTGCAGGCTGGATAGAATGGCTTGGTGGGCCACATCTGGCCCATGGGCTGCATTTTGCTCACCCCTGAGGTAGAGGTACCAGCCAAAGATCAAGACCCTTGTGGATTAGCAGAAAGGCTGGTTTTCCTTAGGTCCTCCAAACTCCTGCATTAAGTGGACCATTAGACCTCTTTCAGTTACTTCTTAGTCACTGGAGCTAAGGTACAGCCCAGCTCTTAGAAATACATCCCAGTGTTAAAGATTTAAAAACTTCTAGCCAGGGAGAATGCATGACAGCCTTTGCTCAGTTGTCCTGGCAGCAAATTACCCTCAGAATTAAACACAGTGCTGTATTTCTAGTTTTAACTCATCTGACTTGCACTTCCAGCCTGTAGTTCTTGTCCTGCCTGTGTCTGCTGAATTAAAGAGTCCTCTGCTATCAAAATTCTGTTCCCAGGTAGACAAGGTTCTTTGGGTAAATCTGATATCTTTTATTAGAGCAACCTAAATAGTTGGAAAAATTCTTCTTAGCAAGCTTTCGGGCATAAGCACCCTTCATTTCCAGGTAGGCACTTACAGACTATGCTCAAGTTAGCCCTTAATCTTAATTTTAATGAGTTCAGTTGATTGACCTCCTGGACTCCCTCATAATGAGGTATATTTCTCAGCTCTTTCATCACCACTCTCATGGCTCTTTTGTGACTCCTTTCCAATTTGTCAGCCTCTTTCCTGAAGCATGGATATGAGAATGGGCAGTGATGTTTCATGAGTGCACACGCAGAGCTCCACACATGTAACTGAGAGTCAACCCCTGGCCCAAAGAGATAACAGTCCAAGACTCCAATATAGACACTTGAACCCAGGTTAAATACCACCCAGAGTCAGGGCATGGCTTAAGTATTAAAATCATGGGTAGATTTTGTCCAAAATCGTAAGTGTCTAGAAGTGGGACTTGTGACCTCCTGTTCCAGTCAAAGACATGGAAATATTTCAATTAGCTATAATGGCTGGAGCCTTTTGTAATTTTGTCTTTGCTTCCCTTTTCTTTTGTTCTCCTTTTTTCCTCTCTCTCTTTCTCTCCAAGATTCCTTTCTTCTTTTCAGCAGAAATTTGTCAAGGCAAAGCTCCTGTTGGTAGTCAAGTGCCTGAATATGTCTGAGGTTCTGGGTCTTTCCTTACCTTCCTTCCTTTCCGTCTGTGGTTCTGGAGAGGGGAAATCACATGTAGAAGACAAGCTTCATTTTCTTTGGGAACTAAATCCTCTGTATTATCAATGGAGGTCTAGTATCTCAACATAATCAATGAATAGAAAGCTGTGTGTGGCTGCAAACATTGATACACTAAGAACAGTGTTTAGTTTGGGTGGGGGGAGTCTGTCAGGTAACAAAGAGCATCTGAGGATTTCAAATAATGAAAGCAGGAAGTAAAATATTTGCATTTTGCAGAGTGTGATAGTCCACACTGTATATAGGTTAGGTGTTGCAACATAGCAGGCAGCTGTGATAGTTGTTGAACAAAGTAATATGGTGGAGGGGCAATTCAGCATGATTACATGTATTTAAATGGTCAAGAGCAATAGCCATTAAGTCTGAAGCTAGGGCCAGAATTTTTAAGTGTAACTTCTGATTTTGAATGGCTAGCATGTGACGACTATATAATCAGCAAACAAGACACCCTGAAAAGCATCAATCCTCACTTCAGAAATTGTTGACCTATATTGTCAGATGTAAAGCTTGGGAATTCTGACATATTGTATGTACCCAGGGGTCCTTATCCTCTGAGGAATAAGCATGTGCATGAACACAGCGGTAATGTTATGCTAGTGAAGAGGTGGTCAGTCCCTTCAAAATTCTCAAGTCATCCCTCAGCTGTGTGCTGGATTCCAGCAGTTTATAGCCCTAAATAACTTAATTTTCAGGAGCTTGTACCTTTTGATCCTGAGGATTTATCTGACGTAGCTTCTTCTGGTTTGGGCTGATGATGATCAGGCTTGTTATCAGCCCAAAGGAGAATTTATTTTTTGCTTCAGAAACTGGGAAGATAATCCACTGGTAGAGGGAAGGGGGATTTGTGCCAGAGCATGGAGAAAACAGTTTCATCTGTTTAAAAACCATGTCTCATCCTCACACTAGCTCTGTTATAATGCCATGCACCTGGCCCTTCAGGGATGATTCTTTCCATGTGTTCTGTGAGTGATGCTTTGTTTGTCAAGTATTTTTTTAAAAGGATGAATATAGAGTAGAAACCATTTCTTTCTTGGAGTGAGAAGTCAGGAGACCTGGGAAATATCCCCAGCTCTGCCACTGACCAGCAGTTTGACATTGGGCAAGGTCACTTCTCTGCTTGGTGCCACAGCTTTACCATCTGTCAGCAGAGGATAATATTTACCTGCCTTTGTGGACAGTGTTGAGATCTAAAGAGGGAAAGTGGTAAGTGATATTGTTATTCAATATGCAAATGTTTGTGTGTAGTACAATTCTTTTCCTGAGTGAAGTAAAGATGCACTTAGAAGCAGCACCTGCTTCTGCACCCGGGGCCAAACAAAGCTTCCCCTCAGAGGCTCCCTGCCCAGTATCCAGTCTGATTATGTACTCCAAGCAATGCCCATGAAAGGCCACTGTCCCACATGACTACTTGCCAGCAAGCAGGTTGAGATGCAGATGGTTATGTGAGTTTTAGGGATTATCTGTTCAAGCCAATGTGCATACGCATGTGAGGACACTAGGCCTCTGATTAATCAGGAGTCTTGTTGATTAATTGCATAATTTTTTAAATGTTGCTTTGTGGATGTGACAAGGGAGCACGGCAGACGGAAACCGGATCAACAGCTTGGCTGCATGGACATGGCATCCACTGCAGTCCCCAGAGCTTTGTCACAGACTCCATCAACAGCAAGGCTCAGTCACAGCAATGGCAGTCGCGGCTTCCCCTAACTGTAGAAGCTCAAGACAGGGCAGGGAGGATGAGGTGGAGACAATCTATCCCTTATGCCCCTTTCAATCCTTGGCCACTCTGAAGCCTGGTCCTCACAGATTTTGCACCACAAAGTAGCATTGGTTAAGGATGTGATGCTTTCTACTGCTTTTGTGCTGTAGTGTGGGGGTACTGCCACTGGTGTGAATGGGCCTTCTGTTTTTTTTTTCTTTCCTGTGTGAGAACAGCTTTAGTAGTACAAGCACACTTCCACCACTATAACCACATCTACAAGCAGGACATGGGACATCTTGAACTACACCAATCTGGTTAAAGTAAGGCAGATATTGGATAGAGACAAGCCCTACAAGGGTGTCACCAAGGTCCTCAGACATCTCTCATCAGGGCTACACTCTCCTGGGAAATGCATGCTCATCCAATGGGGATGAAACAGAAATTCCTTCCCCATTGCCAAAAACCCTAGCTATGTGGATATTGGGAATTCTAAGGGGTGATCCCTGCTCTCCCAACACAACCCACCCTGTCTAAGCAGCATCAGACTATGATTTCCAATAGTGATCAGCCAAGAGAACTCCCTCCTGTCTGGACCCCATCTCTTCAGGGTGAATGGCATGGTCAGGGTCCAGTCAGTCAGTGCTCACTACTATGACTGCTAAGGAGGGCACCAGCAGAGATGAGGGACTATTTAAGACAGAGCAATTTTCTAAAGCATTTAGGCCCCGGCTGGAAGTAATTGGGGCTTGACCATTTATTCATCTGCATTTGAACTGCTGGTTCTACTAGGGCTCAAACTCATGGCCCTTTAGGAGACAAGAGCACTATAACATGATGAAACCCCAAGGATCTCTTGAAGTCTGCTATGATTTAAGGAGAGACCTAACAAATAGTTTCACATCAGCCCACAAGCAGTCAGCTGATTGTGGTTTTCAGTCACTTGCCTATTGGATCTAGGTTTGAGATGGCATTTCATTGTTTGGACGCTGTTAAGGAAGTTGGTTTTGTTTTGTTGTTGTTGTTGTGTGTGTGTTTTTTTTTTTGTTTTTTTTTAAAGATACTTTCCTTTTCAAGGTGACCTGCCAAATAATATTCAAAAACTGAACATACACCTTTTCTAAACTGTACCATGAGGGTTGCAGAGTTTCTTTGATGCTATTTTAAAAGTGTTGTTTTGTTTTCATATATATATGAAACAAATATATATTTTTTAGTTTTTTAAAATTGAGAATTTGAGGGGTTCTTTTAAATGTAGGCTCTCCTGGTTTAGTGGACAGCCTTTGGGGAATATCACAAGTGTGAAGTTCACAAGCTCAGCTGATGCTTATCCCTTCAGAAAGACAATCTTTCTCCAGAATATGAAATAAATGACTTTTAGAATGGGTGGATTTTTTTGTCAGATTTTGAGTGGGGCGAATTGCTGAAAAATGTTTTGGTTTTTTTTACCACACAAACATTTTCACAGAAACTTTTCATCACAGAAGCAGTGGGAAAAATGGGTGGTGGTGTTTCTTTCTTCCCCTTTTCATCTACTTTTCCACTGGTAAATGTAATGGTAAATAGTAATAATAACAATATTTAGCTTTTACAGGGTTTATCATGAGCAGTTCTCAAAGAGGTTTTTCAAAAAGAGCAATATTATTATCCTCATTTCTGCAAGGGGAAGCTGAATGACTGAAGAAAAGATTGAAAGAAATGGGTTTGGTTAGTACAGAGAAAAGAAGGTTGTGAGGAGATGTGATAACAGGCTACACAAATATAAAAGGTTACTGCAAAGAAGAAAGTTATAAGCTGTTCTTTATGTCCGCTAGGTATAGGTCAAGAAGTAATGGGCTTAAATTGCAACAAGGGAGATATATAGATGGATATTGGGGGGAAAAA